GCTGTCCGAGACGCAAAAGGCAAGAGTGTCTACGAGGTTTTCCTCGAACTTCCGCAGACTGAAAGAGCCCGACTACTAAGCGAATTGGCAGCCAAGGTTTTTCAGTCTACTATGGGACGCTAGGCTATTATGCCATGCTAGATAGTTTCGTATGGTGTCATCAATCCGTTGAGGTGTCTGTGTGGCTTTCATTTCTGGAGCAATTGGAGGATTTAGGAATGGGTTTGACGCACGCAATGCTTAACACTAATCGTATATAACCATTAATTCCTTGACATGATCCATATAGGTACATAAATCTATCAGAAAACACTCCTAGTCTATCGCACTATCTATTTTCACGCTCAGTCACGAGGACCGCCACAGAAAAGCCAGGCATTGGGCGATGGGCCCCGCTCCATGTACTTTCATTTTACTCAATTTTGGGGTTTCGAAGTTGGTACATATTCATTGACATGCCATCTAGTTATTTATCTTCTGCAATTGACCGATCAATACAAGCCATATGGAATATTCCTCGGTGATGAAGGTGATGGGATGAAGTATTCTCACTTTCCGTACTAATCTGGTTATCGATAAGAAGCTCCAGACCCACATATGTCTTATTTCTACTCCGTACAGCGAAGGAGTGCTGGGCCCCTGACTGCCCTGGCCCCTGACTCTGAGCCTCTGTGACTGCGAGGTTGACTCTGACCGCTTCGAGCCTGTTTGCCTTGGTGCCTGACTCAACAAGCGCTACTCCTGTCTAGACCCCGCTAGCCCCTCTTCTCACCGCATGCGGATAGGCCACGTTCCTGAGCTTTAGTATTGATATTTAATAGTTCTTTGTCCCGCAGTCTGTTCATCTCCTGCGGATTTTTGGCTGTGTTTTGATTCCTAGCTCTCTTTCACACTGACATTGTACAATCGATCTAATTGATTGGATTCGACAATATTATTTGGAGAAACATAGATCATCATGGCTACCGAAGCTGCGAGTGTTTACCCGGCTCTCCAGGACCGCCCTATTAAAAACACAATCTGTCTGTTCGATGTTGACGAGACACTGACACCTGCGAGACGGGTACGTTGATTTCCCAATGAAAACTCTCAATGCCGAGTCCCTGAGCTGATGGTCAACGATTCTGTGCCTACCAGAGCGTTACCCCCGAGATGCTCACGCTTCTTTCGCAATTGCGACACAAGTGTGCCATTGGATACGTCAGTTAGCCCATTCACTGGATCTCGACGTGCAATCTCACCCTCTGCAGGTCGGCGGTTCCAATTATGCTAAGCAACAAGAACAACTTGGAACGGCCGCTACGGACGTGACCTCCCTTTTCGATTTCTGCTTCCCGGAGAATGGTCTGATGGCTTTCCGTCTGGGCAAGCCTCTTGCCAGCACCAGCTTCATCGAGTGGATCGGCGAGGAGAAATATCAGAAGTTGGTGAACTTTATCCTCAAATACTTTGCGGACTTGCAGTTGCCCAAGAAGCGTGGTACCTTCATTGAGTTCCGTAACGGAATGATCAATGTCAGTCCTATTGGCAGAAACGCAAGTGTCGAAGAGAGAAATGAGTTCGAAGCGTATGTATACAAATTTGTGCTCAACCATGCATTGAGAAGACAGCGATGGTATCTGTGAGTACTAGTCGGCTAACAATAATTATGGCAGATATGACAAAGAACACCACATCAGAACAGATATGGTCAATGCGCTGAAGAAGGAGTTTCCTGATTATGGCCTCACGTAAGTGAATCATAATGGCAATACTCAAAATACCAACCTCCAGAATTATACTCTAACAATCAGTCTGCAGCTACTCCATCGGTGGCCAGATTTCTTTTGACGTCTTCCCCACCGGTTGGGATAAGACCTATTGCCTGCGGCACGTTGAAGCTGAGAAAGAAATTACTGGTGTTGAGTACACGACAATCCACTTCTTCGGAGATAAGTGCTTCCCTGGAGGTAATGACTACGAGATCTACTCAGACCCGCGGACGATAGGTCATTCCGTACATGGTCCTGAGGATACCATGAAGCAGCTTAAGGAATTGTTCCAGCTATGAAGAGCGCTATTGTTCCATCTTTCGTGACTGCTTTGGGGCGAATTCGAATGATATATATAGCGATATCCTTCCCCCTGTTTGTGACATAACTGAAGAAGTATAGTAATGATGCATAGACAAACTCGTGCAAATGTAATTCAATCATGCCTTATACACATTCATACTTCTCCAACGAGAAGCTGGAAATCACATGCATTATCCCAAAAGGCATTAGTGCTGCGATAATTATACTACCTTATGTGTTAGTCATCGGCAATGCCCGCATCCCGGTCGAGTGTGATTACTCCATAGGAGGCGACCAACAGTCACTTATTGATAAAAGATAGAAGTTGCTGATTCGTGCTTCTGCTGCTGCATGTCTCGCTGATGAGTCGTCATTTTGCTGATATACACTGAGGATGGCACCGCAGAAGTCTGTCACAGAAGTCCCGCGCTCACTCCTCCCTCGTCTGACCTGGAACGGCTCCTCTGCCCGGATTACGGTCGCTCCACCGCAAAGCAACGCTCTCTCGACTTTGCGACCTCAACCCCAGCAGCGCATACAAAACTTGAGTCCTGTAGGTCAGCAGCTACGTTATCTGTCCCTTTATCCGCATCAAGCCCGCTTTTTTTCCGTGGCATCTCGAGATCTTAGCCCGGCAACACTGGTTAAAAGATGCCCGCCTACATCACCGAGCGCCTCGAAAAATCGTCCAGCCCTCGAGGACCTCAACAATCCTATCAGATTTAATGGTGTATACGTAGCCGTTTTCAAGCCGGCGCGGCGCGCCTTTCATAGCTCGGCTCCTCGGCAGCGGGAGCATCACTTCGATACATTGAGATTCGTCCAACGACTTAAGGATGAAGGATTCAGTGAAGAGCAAGCCGTCGCGATGATGAGGGTCCTGAACGATGTTATCCAAGAGTCAATACAGCACTTGACGCGGACGATGGTTCTTCGGGAAGGTTAGTCAATTTCTTATGTGCCCCAAGTTGGCCATGCTCTAGGATCAAGTCTATTTGGACCTTTGGCAGCCATCGTGTCCTCTATGTTGCTCCTCTACTCTCAGGCGCTGATGACACGTTTATAGATACTGAACGCTCCGCATACACACAGAAAGTCGATTTTGCTAAACTGCGTTCCGAGCTACTAAACGCAGATTCGACCGAAGCACAGTTGACTCGATCATCCCACGAAAAGATTGCCGCGGATCTTGCGAAACTCAACTCGCGTCTACGAGACGAGATTGGACGAACCCAGGCCTCTGTTCGCCTTGATCTGAACCTTGAAAAAGGGCGTATCCGAGAAGAAGCGAACGGCCAGGAAATGCGCATCAAGGAGACTGAAACACGAATCGAGCAGGAAGTTGCAGGGTTGCGAGAGCGCGTTGAAGCTGTGAAGTTCTCGACCTTACAATGGCTTATGTATGGCACCTTTGCTACCTTCTCTCAGGACTTGCTAACATATATTGTTTTCCAGGGGTGTTTGCACCGGTACAGCCGCTCTCATTCTCGGTGCCTGGCGTCTTTTCATGTGACTCATCAGCGCTTGAGTCCTTCGGTATCGACTTCGTCAATACTCCAATCTTACCTTCAAGTTGTAAATTCTTGTACATAACACCCCGCTCGCCTTCTCGTTTTGCTCAGACAGAACAGACTGAGAGGAAGGAAGGTCCGTTCGATTTTGTGGAGTATGATGGCCATCTACCTGGTCCTCAAAAGACACTTTGTATCATAATTTTAAAGCGTTGTTTCGATGATATACTTCAACAAAAGCGAGTCGCGGAACTGACATTGACAAAGAGAGTGGTTTTACAAATTGTAAGGTCATTTCGATTATAGATAGACATTTTTCTAAGGCGATATTCGTCATCAGACGTAGCTCCTGTCCGGACCAGAATAGGTCAATCTGCTGTCCAGGAGAGGTCTTGTGTCGGACTTCCTTTCTCAAAAAGGCAGGTCGATTGCTTAGTGTGTGACATGACTTCTATCCCACATAGGTAGCTTATCAATTCTTCCAATTATCTAACGTTAACTAGTGCATAGTACATCAGATCGTCGTCGCACTCCTTGCAGGCTAGCGTTATATTCATCTACTTCTGACTATCTAGTTATCGATATCATGGTATGATAATTTAATCCCCTGCAACGCTCATTTTGGAGCAACGATAACGCTACTGAGGGGAAAGAGGAGACGCAAGCACTTCTGCAAGCCCCCGACGGGCCTCCTGTATAGCTCCGTCACATTGACAGATCCAGCCATGGCACGATCCGAAATGGAGCAGGGATATGGATCTAGTCGCGGCTTCCTTTTAGGATTCTCCGTGTCCCAGTCACAGGTGATTATGCTGCTTGTTTCGGCGCTCTTTCTCAGCTGTTGCTTTGCAGTGAATTTTGTCAACAATCAGCGATACCGAAGAAGATCCAAGGTCGAGGCAAAAGAACTTTTGCTGGATGATATTATAATATACAGAGAGTCAAGATTGAAGACTTGCTCAGAATTAAAGCATTCTGTGTCATTGAATTGGAATAGAAATCAAGAGGGTTTCGTCCAGAACTGTCCCTGCCAAATAAAGATCGTGTGCATGGCGCTGTTACTCGTGCTTTGCGCCGCCTTCATATGGCTTGGATACCTGCCTTTGGAGTGTTCATCTGGTATTGCAACTCATCAGGCTTCAGCTTCTATCTCCAATACGACAGGAGTGTTGGAGGTCTTTCAAGTGTACCAACCTGTTTCGGTCTCTGGAGGCGCAAATTCTGCATGCAATGATGAGATACTTCTTATGGATCATGTGTTTGCCTATAGCTATGGCGAACCTTTTGTAGGTCAGTGGATATTCTGGCGGATTGATGGCCCTGATATTGATTCTGCCAACAAGGATATTACAATCCACCCAAATGTGACTTTGACACGGTTCGGATCAACCTCACTGTGACCTCTAGAGGTCGACAATATGACCGATTAGCGATCATGTATCTTGGAGATGCAGAAGTATTCCGTACATCGACAGCTGAACCAACTACGAATGGGATTGTCTGGACATACATTAAGGAGATGTCTCAGTACAATGCACTGTGGAAGGAACGACAAAAGCTAATATTTGATCTTGGTAATTTGATATCCGACGTTTACACAGGGAGCTTCAATGTCACACTTGCTGCCGTCTTTTCTCAACGGGGCACCATCAGAACAGCGGACATGGTTCTGCCGATATCAGCAGGCAAATCAGCGTCTAATGCATCAAGTGCCTTCATTGTGCCTTCAGACAATGTGGAGATAGCCTACAAATTTCCCTCCAACACTGCACGTGCCGTTGTGTCGATTTCTGCATGTGGACAGTCCACAGAGGAGTTCTGGTGGTCTAATGTGTTCTCGCCCGACACAGAATCATTCATCAACACGGTGGGCGAACTCTACGGATATTCTCCTTTTCGTGAAATTCAGCTCTATATCGACGGTCTGCTTGCTGGGGTCATCTGGCCATTCCCAATTATCTTCACAGGGGGCGTCTCACCCGGCTTCTGGCGTCCAATAGTTGGAATTGATGCTTTTGACCTGCGACAGCCCGAGATAGACATCTCACCATTTCTTCCTCTTCTGACCGATGGGCGAGAACATTCTTTTGAAATAAAGATTGTCGGCTTGGAAATTCAAGCGAACGGAACTGCCAGACTTTCTGATACTGTCGGCTCATACTGGGTAGCCACAGGAAACATCTTTTTGTACCTCGAGGGGAATGCATCGTATTCAAGAACTGATCAATCCGAGAAGGAGCCTCAAATAACCGCGCCGACACCACAGTTTACAATTACGCGACTTCTCACCAAAGATGAGACAGGCGTTAACGATACACTCTCGTACTCTGTTGTTGCTGAAAGGACTCTCAGTATCACCTCGACCCAATTCTCTTGGAATCAGTCCTTGAAGTACTCTAATTTGGGTCTGCTGAACCAGCAAGGATTGAGCCAAGCGAATCGCCAACTCACATCTGGGAGAATATTAGCTGCAGAAATTGGAGTCAACGGATCTACTGATGATCTGACCTTCGAATATCCTTTATTTGTCAACACAACATATGGTATCACTGACACTGGGCTCACCATAAACGCACAAATGAATAGAGGTCTTGATATAGCGGCGACAGGAGTTACTGGTATCTCTACCTATACTCTGACTTCGGGCCCGTCGCGGTTGCACACTAGACAATGGGGCAGCGCATTCTACCATTCAGTCACAGGTGGCGGGTCGACATCCGCTGGAGATACAACTGATGTTTTTGACAGTAGTGCTGAACAATCGTATCACAGAACGGTTTACGCTATCAATGGAAGCGTTGTCTCTGATACAGATGTCCGACCAAAGACTGCTTCACCTCAAGCAATTCAGAATGTTCTGTTATCATCAGGCAGAGACAGCGTGAGAAGCATCATCGGAAGAGGGCCTGGGAGGAAGAATTAACACTCAATGTGAAGCTACTTTCTGGAGGGCAGGTAGACTGAAATGCACTATTCCACTTCCAAGATCTGATGGAGCTGAATTAAGCACACTTTTCTATATACCTCTAGTCCTTAATTAAGTTTAAAGTCATACTTGGACAACAAAAAAGTGAATCTTGCCACTATCTCCCAGTACCATGGAAACTTGTTATCTGTATCACGTGATTTTTATGATAAGATTGCCTTATCGCCCTTCGTCTTCCTACTTTGTACTTGATGCATTGTGGCGCTTTGTACAGACGAAACCATTGCAGGATGGCTGTGGTGACGGAGGAAGTGTGCTATTCAGGTGCATCAACTACCCTTTTTCCTAATGAGATCTGCAGGTTGATTGCTAACCCTTTACAACGTGCAGGTAGAGTGCCTGATAGTCTAGCCTCTGCTTTCGCGCAAAGCGGGCAACTCGAGAGCGATGGTCCTCCCAGCAAGCGTCGCAAACTGACATCAGCACCCCAGAGTCTTCGAGACGTGAACGGCGCCTCGGAGAATGGAGTCCCCAATGGATATATTGCCTTGGCGCGTTTTGATCTAAACCTGGTACGTAAATGATCACAATCATGGACCACATACCGTTCAGAGCGCAACTGACTCGGTCAATCTCTATCAGAAATTCGCTCGCGCAAATCCTCTTCTGGAGGGACACATTGATGATCCTTTCAGGCCATTACGCCGGCTTCCTGTCGTTCTTCAGACTGCCAGAAATTCCCGACATCTGGCCGGTTCGCCTCCAGAGTCGACCTTTTATGACTGTTTCGAGCTAGAGATAGCTACATTGCCAGAGCGAGAGACCGTGTACGGAGAGTCTTCGACTAGTCCTCAGTTGCTAGAATTTGGAAAATATCTCGAATCCGCCCATCGCCTTGTTTGCGCCGATCGATATCATAAGAAGGTTCCGACCGCTTGTTATCAGTGTACTCTCCATTGTTTAAAGGATAGAAAGTCATTTCGCCTCGAAACAATCATTTTATGGAGAGATTCTCTGGATATCATCGATGAAAAGCTACTAAACGCTGGGGCGCTTGAAACGTTTGCGAAATATGTGCTACAGCGTGATACCGAGAAGGTGTCAGATCATGCGTGTAACTTGTATAACAAGTGGCGCAATGTGGGCTTTGCATCACGAGCTATCTGGTCGCCTCGAGACTTCTACGATAATGTCCATGTTCCTCAAGACACACCCGAGTCATCTGCAGAGATCGAGTCTGACTTGATACATTGTCAACTTTATCCATTCCAAAGGAGAGCAGTACGATGGTTACTCGAAAGGGAAGGTGTGGAACTTCAGAAGAATGGACAAGTGATTCCTCTGGAGAACAAATCGGTTGGTGAACTGCCCGCTTCATTCGAGAAGCTTACAGACGCTGAGGGGAAAACATACTATGTCAGCCTTTTGTTCATGACCGTCACGTCCGATCTTTCCAATTGGTACGCACCGGCGGACTATCTCAAGGGCGGTATACTTGCTGAAGAGATGGGACTGGGCAAGACTGTGGAAATGATTAGTCTGATTTGTCTCCATCGTCGTTTCCTGCATCCTGCTATGGACCTTGACATCGATGGAATGAGACAATCCGGTGCAACGTTAATCATCACCCCCCCTGCTATTCTCCAGCAATGGATGCAGGAAATTCAGTTGCATGCACCGGCTTTACACGTTCTTCACTATACAGGTATAAGTCGCCATCAGAAACTTTCAGACCGCGAACTTGTTGAACTACTTGCCGATCAAGATGTCGTTCTCACCACCTATGATGTCCTTGCACGGGAGATCCATTACTCCGTTGATGCTCCAAGACGTAATATGCGGCACGAGAAAAGATTTCAGCCACGAAAAACACCTCTTGTCAGAATCTCATGGTGGCGAGTCTGTCTTGATGAAGCTCAAATGATTGAGAGCGGTGTAAGCAATGCGGCAAAGGTCGCACGTCTGATACCTCGCCAGAATGCATGGGCTGTGACCGGTACACCTCTTCGGAAAGATATCTCTGACCTTCTTGGTCTTTTGCTTTTTCTTCACTATGAGCCGTTTTGTGGGTTCGTGTGGAATAGGCTGTGTGGATCATTTCAGTCTGTGCTATCTGGCATTGTCAGTCGGGTCGCTCTTCGGCACAGCAAAGACCATGTTCGCAGTGAGCTTGATCTGCCGTCTCAAAAGAGATTTGTGATCACTATTCCTTTCACACCGGTTGAAGAACAACATTACGGACAGTTGTTCGAGCAGATGGCCGAAGATTGTGGCCTAGATCTGTCCGGTGCACCACTAAAAGACGATTGGAATCCCGAGGACCAAGCCGTTGTAGAGAAGATGCGGAGTTGGCTAATGAGGCTCCGTCAAGCATGTCTCTATCCGGCTGGAAGTAGTCGCCGTGTCTTAGGTTTCGGTGGCGGTCCGCTACGCTCTGTGGCCGAGGTTCTTGAGATAATGATCGATCAAAACGATGCTCTTGTCCATGCAGAAGAGCGCGCTCTCGTTCTGTCTCAGCTCCGACGGGGGCAGCTACTGGAAAATGCCTTGCTTCGTCAACAAGCACTTGATCTTTGGACCAAGTCGTATGAACGGTCCAGTGCACTGGTCAAGGAATACCGCTCCCGGCTGGAGTTGGAGCGTGCTAAGAGTCAAGCCATGTCTAACGGCGCGAGCCAAGGCGCAGCGACAGATGATCCAGCGAGCGATAACGAAGTTGACGAGGCGGACAAGAACACTCGCGTTGGTGCGTACCGTCAAAGGCTGCGTGCTGCCCTTGAGATCCAGCACATTTCGATATTCTTTATTGGGAATGCGTTTTACCAGATCAGGACAGATCCGAAGCTCACTGAACTGGAATCGGAGGAATTCAAACGCCTCGAGAAACGTGAAACCGAAGCCTATGAAGAGGCCAAATTGATTCGGAATGAGATGCTGACTGATGTTTCTCGTAAAGTTGCTCGATATATGAGAGTGATCAAAGAGAAATCAGAAAGGAAGCAGTTTGTGGTTATTCCTAAGATGAAGCCACAGCTTTATATTAAAGGACTGGAGTCCCGCCGCATATTCGACAGATACGAGGAGTTTTGTGAAGTGCTGAACAAACACGCTGCCCAGTACAATGAATGGCGAGATATCATGGTCAAGTTACTTTCACAGTCGCTCATTGACCAGGAGGATGAATCAGAGCTTGAAGGAAACGAGTACGAAAGGTCAACAAAGCATCAAGACGAGATGTATGTTTATATGGAAGCTCTGCGCGCCACGTTTGCAGACCGCCACGATGCTCTCACCGGTCAGCAGAACGTCCTCATCGCTCACGAGGTGAAAAGTGGAATTATTCAAGCTCAGCAAGGCGAGGGGCCGTCTCCGGGGCTCTTTCTTTCGGTGATGAACACCCGCAGTGCCCTGAAACCCCCGCCTGCGCTTGGTTCTCTTCGTGGCATCATCAGCGAGCTTCGCAGTCTTGCGACCTCCCTTGAATGGCAAGGAAGTGGGGGAAGCTCTCGCGCTCTTGCCGAGTTGGAACTTGTCAACTCAGTCCTGCAACATGCTGCCAAGATGGCTGCTGATCAGAACAAAGTGTCATCGAATCTGGAGAGAGAAGTGGAGATGTTCCGGGACACTATGAACAACCGCCTTGAGTACTACCGTCAGCTGCAACAAATATCCGATACCGTTGCTCCTTACGACGAGGAGAGCGTCGGTAAACCGTTGGATGAAAATCTATTTGCAGCAAAGCTCAAGCAAGAGAACGATATAGATGCGAAGATATCCACCCTGAGAGCGAAACATCGTTATCTTCTACATCTGAGAGACGACTCAGGAGTCGATACTGCATCGAGAATATGTGTTATATGTCAATCCAGCTTCGAAATTGGTGAGTACTTGTGCTCTATCTTCCTAGGCTAAGACTTCGTATCGCTTACATCTATAGGGGTCTTGACCGTTTGTGGCCATAAATATTGCAAGGATTGTCTGCGCCTATGGTGGAACCAACATCGCACCTGTCCTACCTGCAAAAAAAGACTCAAGTTCAATGATTTTCATCAGATCACCTACAAACCCGAAGAGTTTGTGGTGCAGGAGGAGAAAACACCCAAAATAGAATCAGGTCGATCATCGAACAGCTTCATTTACGCTGACATCAGTTCGGGGACGCTCAAAGAGATTAAGAACATTGACCTTGACGCCTCGTTTGGCACCAAGATCGACACTCTGGCCCGTCATATTCTTTGGCTACGCGAGCATGACCCTGGTGCGAAATCGATTATATTCTCTCAATATAAGACCTTCCTTGAGGTGTTGGGTACCGCTTTTGCGCGATTTAAGATTGGGTACAGTAGCATCGACAATACAGATGGTATAGAGAGATTCAAGAGCGACCCAGCGGTATGGATTTTTCAGAGCTCGCATGTTGCTGTGTCTTTACTAATCATTGCTCTGCAGGTCGAATGCTTCTTTCTACATGCTAAAGCGCAGTCGTCCGGTCTTAACCTGGTCAACGCTACTCATGTTTTTCTCTGCGAACCACTTGTCAATACTGCGATTGAGCTTCAGGCCATCGCCCGTGTGCATCGAATCGGTCAGCATCGGCCTACTACCGTCTGGATGTATCTCGTGTCCGATACGGTGGAACAATCAATCTACGAGTTATCAGTCTCTCGCCGCCTAGCTCATATTGTCCAGAAGGAGAAGGTGAAAGAGGCACTGGACGACCCAGGAGCCGTATTCGAAAATCTGACTGAAACAGCCATTGATTCGGCAAATTCCTTGGAAGTACAAGATGCGACGCTGGCAAAGTTGATGACAAAGGGAGCAGCCGGCGGAGAGCTCGTGAAGAAGGACGATTTATGGCAATGCCTTTTCGGCAATGCCACCCAGAAGATGGATTTGAGGGCGGACGGGGAGGTGGCAAGGTTTTTGCGAGGTGACGCAGCAGAGAAAAGAAGGGCTGCTGCTTCTTCATGATCCTACGATATATAATGACTGATGAATTGCCTTAGATGATGTGATGTTGGATGTAAATATAGTGCATTTTCTTCTCCGGGCCATACCAGCAGTATATAGTTTTTGAATTAATCGTCCGTCTTTGTTCTCAGTCCCGTGAAAGTCTGCTCGATGTGTTCCTTGCAACTCAACGTGCGCAGACGTTCCACTGCTCTCTAAATCTTCTCTTCTTCTACTGACTTCCCTCGTCTTCCATCTGTAAGAATTCTTATGTTGATATTTCTGATCGACTCATCTTCAAATGTGATGACTAATCACGATGCATCCCCTGATCGGGATAGCTTCTTGACCGCAGTGACGTGAGGGTGTATCTGCCTACGGAAGGCGAGCTGAATTCTAATCATTTTTTATTTAAGAATAGCTTCTGATATGGTGGCTCACCTTTTATCATCTTTCACATTGTCCATGCACCACATTGAGCATCTTTTTTTCCCCGTCTGATTTTGTTATGGCTTCCGATGCCACGTCAGCGAGTTCCGAGGCTCGCGAGCTGAGTTTAATATCAAAGGTTGAACTGAGAATCGCACTTGCAGATACAGATGAGAAACTCGAAGGGCTTCTCAACACATATCTGGCTCCGTTGTTACTGAAGCTAGGTTCCGAGAGCCACGCAGTCCGCAGCAAGGTCATTACGGTGTGCCAACATGTCAATACGAGAGTTCGAGCACCGTCCATCCAGCTGCCCGTGGCAGCTCTACTCAAGCAGTTCAAAGACCAGAAGTCTCAACTGATCAGACATTTTGATTTGCTTTACCTTCAACAAGGCATTGATCGTTTGGGTGCCAACGCGAGAATTGAGATCTTACTCCCTCTGCTCCAGGGAATTTCTGAGATCGGAGCAGCGACTAATCAAGCTGCCATTATCTTCAATCTTGTCTTGCGGCTTCTGCCTTTGCTCAAGCTACCTCCAAAGGGCAGTGAAGAGGATGCACAGTTGAAGCCAAAGCTTGGTCTTTCTGATAAGGATACGAATTTTTTGTCTTCGTGGTTCGAGAAGTTACTTCTCTTGTATCCTGCAGAAAAGGATACAACGACATGTCCTGGGCTATCACCTGCCGAGTACACATTTCTGAACAAAGGCCTTTCTGCAGATGAGACATGGAACCCTGCTTCGAATGGAGGACTCAACCTTACCGAGACGAAAGTAACAGCTTTGAGGTTCCTCACTAGCGGAGCTTTCACGGACTCGGAGCGATTCATGCCCGCTCTTATCGCCTCTGCAGATGCAAACTCTCGTGTCTCTGACCTCGGTGAAGAAATTCTGAAGCGATTTATTCCTGACCTAGAAAATCCTGATGTCGTGCAGAAACTGTATAGCCTCTATTTTGGGGCCGGTACGGCGGATGGTGCCCAGCCGGCCCGGCCTCCCGTACAGTTGAAGATCCTGGTTTTCTTGGGAAAGTCGATTTTAGCTACGAAGGACACGCAACGAGTAATTCGATTGATTGAGGAAGGTCTCCTCTCAGACAAAGCAAGGTCTTCCCAAGGCCTACAAGCCTCGAAACTGAGAACCCAGATCTTCACATTCACAACTTGGGTGGTGCGGATGGGATCTCCTTCTGATCTCAAGTTGATGGCGCCAAAGGTCATAGCAGGGTTGAGGGACTTCATCCAATCTCAGGGTTGGCCCAGCCCTGGAGCCAGCGGCCAAAGGCTTCCCGCGTCAGATTTGAGTCTCAGAGGTCTTGCCTATGAGAGCATTGGTATACTTGTTCCCAAAGTCGATTTTCAAGTGCAGGATGACCAGGCCCAGTTTTCTGATTTTGATCTGATCAAATGGCTGTTCACGTCCTTGAGCTCCGACGACTCGAGCCCTCAGATATTTGTGAGCATTGAGCAGGCCCTGGGGAGTATTTTGAATTCTTCCGTGAATCGATGGAATAAGGAGTTCCAAGAGCAAATCCGTCCTTTCCTCGTTCATCAGATGGGTAATCAACCCGGGGACGAAGATCCCATCACTGGGTTCAAGGTCGTTCGCGGATCGCAATATGCCGCCGTCCGTTTTTCCAACCGATTCTTATCATATAGTGACGTTGTGGCTCGCTGGATTGACCTCATGGCTATTGCGCGTGGATTGGATCGGAATCAAGAAGTTGCAGAAGAAGGGAAGAAGGGCTTACATCCTTATTGGTACCGGCTGCTCAATCCTAGCAAGGACAAAAAATGGTTCGCATCAGCAGCAACAGATGAAACGGACCAGGCTTGGTACAGCTTCCCAACGTTTTCCGACGCAACGCGCTTTCTACTTGGCTCCCCAGCATCAACCGGAAGTGCAGTGGCGCCAGCTCTGTCCGCGCCCGAGGTTTTGTCCGGGCCATACAGGACCGCTCTGCCTGTTGCTATCGCATTTCTTCGCAACATTCTCCTCTGGGAGTCTCTCTCGGCATCCGGAAACACCATGGAAATTGAGCAAGATTGGGATGTCAAACTCGACGTACTTCTTACGTCTGATGAGGGAGCCCGACGGGGATTGAAACTGTACATGCAGTCGTCGGACAAGGAAGCCATTTTATTATTCCTAAGAAGCGCCTTGACCGGTCTTACGAGTGACAAACGACTGGGCCTACATCAGTGTGGAGAGCACTTTGTCAACATCTGCTCGCTGGCGTCAAATGAAACAGTTGGGACTATGGTTCCGCAAACGCTCTCACTGAAAGCCTCTGTAAGCAGCAATGATCAGGAAATACAGAACAAGGCTGCGCAAGCACTTGGGATTCTAGCATCTCACCCTGCGTTTCCTGATGCCGATATCCGAGCACTGCTTTCGGATCTGTTAGATTCTGTATCCACGTGGAAAACGGCGATCGGAGAAGCTATGCTGAAGATACGGGGCGCAATCCTTGCCCTAGCTTATACACTGAGCAGGCTTGCATTCCGCAAGGCGCTCCATAGAGCCTCCAAGGAACAGGTGGAACAATTCACAAGCACAGTATTTGACCTGGTGGAGAACTCTCGCGACTCTCTCCTCCGACGCTCCGCACAAGTGGCACTGGGACAACTCAGTCTCTCGGGGATTCTGTCGCCAGCAATGCTCTCTGATGCCGATTGGAAGCAAATCAAGGAGAAACTAACTCAAGACGCAAAATCTGAGACCGATACCGCCATCACCGCCCTGGGCCTTCTAGCCTTGACCTTTGCGAGATCAAGCACTGAACACGTGCTCTTTAAAGAGCTGCTCGCTTCTCTTTATGAACTGCAGGAGATCCGAAGCCCCGAGATTCACTTTACTGTCGGTGACGCATTGAGTAGTGCCGCGGTCGGTTGGAATTCGAAGTCACTGCTCCGGCAATTTGACGTCGACGAGGAGGTTCCGCACATAACAATTTCGAGGAAAGTGCTCTCTGAGATGAGCGACAAGATCATAGCGGACTGCAGCGCATCAAAACCTTCGCTAAGAAAGTCGTCCGCTATATGGCTGTTGTGTCTGATCAAAAACTGCGGACATCTGGCCGAGATACGAGATCGTTTACGCAAATGCCAGGCCACGTTCACAGGCATACTCGGGGATCGTGATGAAGTTGTGCAGGAGACTGGAGCACAAGGGTTGGGCCTTGTCTACGAGATGGGCGATCAATCCCTTAAAGACGACCTTGTGCGAGATTTGGTCGACTCCTTTACAGCGAATAAGTCTAACCTCGGAGGAGGCAAAGTCCACGGAAATACCGAGCTTTTCGAACCTGGTGCTCTCCCTACTGGAGAGGGGTCGTCAATTAATACGTACAAAGATATTATGAATCTCGCATCTGAGGCTGGTGACCCAGCACTGGTGTACCGGTTCATGTCGTTAGCCTCTAACAACGCGCTTTGGACTAACCGTGCCGCTTTCAGCAAGTTGGGCATCAGCACTATCTTCTCCGATTCGAGTGTCAACGGATATCTGGCGAAGAATACCAAGATCTACCCGAAGCTGTTCCGCTACCGATTTGATCCCAATCCGAACGTGCAAAGATCCATGAATGCCATATGGACAGCATTAGTCAAGGACCCAACCGTGGTAATCAATGCTCATTTTGATGAGATCATGGATGATTTGCTGACAAGCATGCTGGCGGGCCGGGAATGGCGCGTTCGTCAGGCAAGCTGTGCTGCGATCGCAGACTTGATGCAGGGACGGCAACCGGAAAAGTACGCAAAGTACCTGGATGATATCTTCACGAAAGCCTTCAAGCTCTTGGATGATATCAAGGAATCAGTCAGAGCGGCGGCGCTCAAGCTCTGTCAGACTCTCACCAATGCAATCGTCCGTACCTTAGAGACGAGTGATCTGGAAACAAGACGAGCGAATACCATGCTAGCAAGTGCCATTCCATTTCTGCTGAGCGATAAGGGCATGGAGTCCAGTGTGCAAGAGGTTCAAGGATTTGCGATTGGGGCTCTGGTTCAGATGATAAAGAAGAGTCCCAGCGGTCCATTACGAGCATTTGTTCCTCGCATAATCGAACAGTTCCTCAATTCGCTGAGCTCGTTGGAGCCTCAAGCGGTCAATTATGTTCATCTCAATGCGGACAAGTACGGGTTAACGGGCCAGGAAATCGATAAGATGAGGTTATCTAGTGTCCGCACCTCACCAATGATGGAAGTGATCGAACGATACCTGATTGACATGCTGGACGAGGCCAGCATGAAGGAATTTGCACCCAGGCTCGAAGGCGTTCTTCGCTCTGCAGTTGGACTTCCATCGAAAGTGGGCTGCAGCCGTGTCCTTGTGCTTCTCAGCATGAGGCCAATGCTTTTCCGTCCGTATGCGGATCGGTTCATTCAGCTGCTGAGCAAACATGTCACTGATCGGAATGAAACCGTCAGCGCATCCTATTGCACATCTATTGGCTATCTCATGCGCTTGGCTACGGACGATCAAGTCTTGAAAACCATTAATCATGCCAAGAATCTATATCTGGCGGCGGAGGATGCCAACGAAAGAGTCATCTCGGCAGAAATTTTACATTCTACGTCCAAGCTGTCCAACGACCGGTTCATGGCGTTTGCTGCTGCGACGCTGCCTTTTGTCTTCATTTCAAAGTATGACACGGATACTCATGTGCGGGAGGTCTTCGATAATACCTGGCAAGATAACGTGGGCGGCACCCGGGCTGTTTCGCTTTATATCAAGGAGATTGCCAGCCTCGCTGCGGAGAACCTGGATTCCCCGCGGTGGGCCATCAAGCACACGTCAGCCCTTGGTATTGCAAACGCCATCATGTTGCTAGACGCCGATCTCGATCTCGCCACAGGTCAATCACTATGGCCCGTGCTGGAAAAGGCACTGGCGGGAAAGACGTGGGACGGGAAAGAGGTTGTGCTCAAGGCGTTCGTGAAGTTCGCAAGCCAAGCTCAAAAGTTGTGGCAAGAGAATAAGCAGCTTAGTGACTCGATGAAGGTAAGACTCACCCTTGCGTACCGTGTACTTCCTACGATGCTAAATGGCTGGGTCAGGTTATTGCGATTAGAGAGGCGAAGCGCAACAATCCGACATATCGTCCGCATGGCCTCGTAGCTCTAGGCGGGGTCGCTCGCGCGCGCAAAGACGTGGATTTTATGCCCGATGCGCTGAGCATTGTGTCTCGAATACTGGACGAAGTTACGGACGCTGATACGGACTCCATGGACATTGATTCTGGCAGCGGTCAAAAATCCAAGTACGTGTACAAGTCTTGCTCCCTCTTCTCAGTCTTTTCTAGGCTCTTCTAGCTCATCGAATCGATGTCTGACTCTCAAACAGACAAACCTTAGAGGATACACTCGCGGCCTGTGTGAGGTGTCTCTTTGAATGTCTTGAACCGTCCGCCGCAGCAGCAGGAGGTTGGTACACACAGTCTATCATTTTTCGGGCAGGAGTTGCTAATACGGATGACAGCAATCAAGCATTATCTCGAAGAAATGATCCCACTCATTGACAAAGCTGTGATGCATGGAACGAGGAAAGTGCAGGTTAGCCTTTACGAGGAATTGGGCAAGTTATTCCAGAGATTTGAGAAATGGGCAATTGCAGGCAAAGGTCAGAAGCCTGAAGTAGGCGAATTGCAGGGGCCATTGGTGGTGCTCGCGCAAGAAATGCTTTGTCGCAAGATAGACATGTCCATCGAAACCATCCGGATGGAGCGCGCACGGGCGGCAGCCGCGTATGTTACGGCGTGCCAGCAGATGGGGCTAGAAGTCAGTCAAGCACTGCAGGAATCTTTCAAGACCTGGAGAGACGGCGAAAGATCGGGGCCGGTACAACAAATTCTCAACCAGGTATTGGGTAACCTTGCAGTCTCGCGGTGAGACAAGAAGAGAATGCGGAGAAGCGTGCGTGGGTTGTCCCAAATGGAGGAGGCGAAAAGCCTCGGTACGGTACCTTATCACGCTGCCAGGCCCAGTTGCCAGACCCATTTGCCATGCATTGATATTCAGGCGATCTCCCTTCTTATCCATACAGTCGGTACGCCCGGACCCGGGACGGAGATGCAGACGGCCAATCAGGTTTGATATGATGAAAAGCCGCCCAGGCACGGCGCATCACTTGACCTTTGCATTTAGAGAGAGAACATCAGTTAGGAGTCAGAACAGATTGTACAGTCGAAAATCAAGGAATGACTACATGACCCACCAAAGAGGCAACGAAGATTTGCACTATTGTTCAGAGGCTTGGGGCTTAGAGGCTCAGATCAGAGGTCAGGATCTAACCAACAGACACATGACATGATGATACTACATAATTCGTTCAGCAATTGCTCGGGGCTTCGTAGCGTTGTCCGTTGCGGAGCCGAAGAAATGGACAACTCCGCATATGTCACCCATCACTCATTGTATTAGGATATCCAGTAGATAATAATCATTACTATTGCAGACTGAATACGGAGTAGTTATCGAGAAAATGGAAAGTAGGGTAACGGTGCAGGTTGCGGACTGCGGACATGTCCTAGCGTGGCCCATTAGAGTTTGGCCAGAATTCAGAAATGACACTTGCGGACTATGATTGGCGGGCCTGGGGTGCTTATTTTACCCATCCGTTGGGCACGGGCCGAAAGGAACAGGGACCAAGTTTGAGGATCCAGACCGGCCGAGGCCAGTCTCGTTGGGGAATGAGACTATTTTAGTCCTCATTCCGAAGTACTAGTAGTAGTATCTCTCTGTCAACAGATTATATCACCGCTTTGTAGTTCGGATCTAGACCATTCATTGGACATTGCCATCTCCCCGGAGAAGGTCGGCCTTGACAGTGATACGTGGTGTCGAATCGGCCCTGGAGGGGATGACGGATAGATGGTGTATCCAGGCCTCATTGAACTATTGATTCCTGGTTTATTGTTCGGATCCGAGAAGTCAGGAGGTCTGCGAGGCCTGCGTATAGTACTAAGAATTAAGCGAGGTAGGTGTGGTCGCTACTCGCATCATATGAGAAGGTTCCTTACTTCATGGTCTGATCGAGTAGGAGATAGATTCGAGGAATAAGAATGGCTACTATGAGAGCCATCCTCAGTGACAATCCATAGCAGCATCCAGAATCAGTACTCTTTCCATGAGATATCTTGATGCTGGGTACAGTGGTGGGTACCTACATCATTGATACTAAGGTACTCCGTACTGGGTACTAGAACATCCTGGTTAAAATGCACTCAAGCTAAAAGCACAGCAAACCAATACTTTTTTACCCGCCAATCAAAATCTGCTCCAATCCATGGACGAACTTTCTCTAGCGCTGACACTATACCCGACCTGACTAGCTGACAATGCTGCAGAACGCTTTATTGGGGATGCACCGAGCGCAGAGTCCGGAAACCAGGAAATCGCCCGAAACCCCATCTGTCTTCCACTTTTCAGCCAGCCTTATGAGATAACGGCCATAACGTGCTTGGACTAGGAGTGAGATGAGATGAGACTATGGTCGAATCTGGTGAGAATAAGCGAATCATTGCCAAAATAAGAACCTTGATCCCTTTCGTTTCATACAGAACTGCCTAGTCCGAACCCTGGGGAGGAAAAGCTGGAGGCCATGGAGGGGTAGAAACTGTCTATGAATTGAGCCTCCGATTTCTGGACTAAGGACTTGGGTACCTAGTACTGCCTACTATTCATCGGCTGTTTGTCATTTGGAGTTCGGACTCGGACTCACCGATCACCTTGGAAGCTTGAAGTTCTTTTCAACGAGTGCTATTGGGATACCTCATGACCGTGCCTTGCGTGCAGTGCAGTATAGTAAGAGATCTGTGATGCAAGGCAGTCTGCAAGTCTGGAACATGATTTTCCCAGCTCGCACTGACTGCGTGACCATACAAGCCACAGAAGTGGATTCTAAGATATCGCCACCAGCAGACAAAGTACAGGAGCATTCTGCCAGTGACTGCGCAATTGGCGAGCGGATCCAAGAATTTGGTGTTGGCTGGATTCAGGATCATTTGGGATTCTGGGTAGAGGAGACTAGGGAACAAGTGGGGAGCATAAGCCAGCATTTCAGGTACCATAGTCGTCTATGTTCTAATTGCATCGCACCTAATGTACTTCTTTTTTGTCACTTAGAATCTAGTAGAGCTAAGAAAACTCAAGGTGCATACCTATGATTTCTTACTATGGGGTCTTACCTCAGGAGTACTCCATACTTCAAAGTAAGTATTATTCAGAAATCTAATCCATGTACTTGCTTCACAAGCAAGATGTATTAATAATACATAGCCCATGAACCTAAGCTATTACATGCATTCTTTTGAGTCTTAAATATTTCCAAGTGACTCTATCTTGGAATAAACAGATATAAACCAGTCGCGGGCTTGCAGTCTAAGGTACATAGTATCTATAATTTCTTAGCAAAACAGTGTATCACTGTATCACTGTAGGCTGTATTTACTACTATCTAGGTATCTTCTCTGTAGAGTGTGGCTAAAAGTGCACTATGTGCTGGCATTCAATAATGCACTTTATGGCCCGGACCTAATCTTAAGAGGTCCAGGGTTTAGAGGTCCTGCATTCCTCAGTCTTACCCTACTGAATTTGATACCTGAGAATAATGGAAATCAAATTTAGTATTGTTGCATGACCTATAACTACCTAGTAATACTACTAGTACCTACTAAGACCATTTTCCACATGGTTGGCACTCGGCATATGCAGTTCCAATCCAAATCATCCATCTCTCTTCTTTCTCCATCGATCGGATTTGCTTGCTGATTACTCGATCATAGGATATTAGATACGCAATCTATCATAGCTGGTCATGAATATTAAAAAATCATAAAAAAACAAAATAAATCAATCAATCAATCAGAATAAAAAAGAAGAATAATAATATTAATATATCACTAGGGAAGAAAAACAATCCTCCTTTGGTCTTTCGGAGCTGTATTATTTGCATGCGGATACCTTTCTCAGATCCGCCACCGTGGGCACAAACTAAACGGACCTCCGGTTCTGGCCTGCGTCTATCTTGACTAGCTAAGTACCTAAATTCTGAGATATCATGCTGGCTCTGCTGAATGTTCGTCCGACATCCCTAGTTGCCTCAATGATGACAATTAGGTATCATGCTACGTCCGATCTGACTCTTCTTCGCGTAGAGACAGATGCATCTTATCAACTTCCCATTCGCCATGCTTCTGCTTTTAAGAGGGGGGGGGGGAAAAAACAAGTATATACTACTACTAACCATGCCTTTATTTACTTTACATCTATCATCGTTCTCTAATCTTACATGCTCTTGCTCCGAGTTCGATTGACTTCATTCACTCCTCAAACACCTCTTGTTACCATCAAAGTAACTAGCAATCACTACTGTCGCTTCATCTGCCTCATCATCCTCTCGTCATTATTGGCGCCTGAAGCACACCCCACCTCCAATTGCAACCCTGTGAGATGGCCTATCCTTTACCTTCCTCGTTTAAGAGCGCAGTCCTGATGAGATGAGTCCAGGACACGAAGACCTCATCCCAATGACAGCCTCCAAGTTAGGGATGCCGCCCAAGAACAGCGCTCCTTCACGGAAGCGCGCTCTCGTGCTACCCATCATTGCTCCAAAGGACGATCGTACAACATCCAACCCCAGCTTTGATCCCTCCATGACCGAGCAAATTCCACTGCCCAGACCACGTTCGCGATTTCCTCCGCGGTCTCGTACAGGGTGCTGGTAGGTCTTTCCGGTCAAGAGTCCTCGCTTTGAGCGGGCGGTGTGCTGATATCACACTTGCTTCCCTCTAGGACATGTAGAGTGAGCCAGCTCTTTCATCTTTGAACTTGCCTGCGGGGTACATGGAATTTACTGACTTGTATGTCTTGAATTGGATTAGAGTCGCAAAGGTTAGTCTAAGCCTCCTCACATTGCGCCGTCCCATCTGGCATATTCGGGACAGGTTGACCTTTTGATTGGATTGGACTTTAGTAACTGGTCTACAGTCAAGTGCGACGAAGGTCATCCGCAGTGCAATGTAAATGCAACTTGGCTCTTGAATTATCCTCTCTGGGAATGCAGTCTGACTCCTATATACTTAGCAATGTTCGAGATTGGGTCACATCTGTGACTATCGACCTCGCCTATCTTTTCGCGATGACACACGCCGAGTCATAGAACGGATGTTGGATATCAGAACCGCAGGCAATACGGTTTGGGATCGTGAGACACCTTTGCTTTCTGTTTTCCCCCGAGATATGATGGCGATCCACTAACCCGGCCATGTCAAATAGCAGCAAACGCATGTTCACAAAGCAAGAGCGCCTCGAGCGATTTCGCGACGGATGATCTCCTACCCCCTTTTTCACTGCTCACATCGGATGAAGAGCGGGAGAGGAGGGCAGAAACATCGAGACCTGGCACATATCACGTCATCGTCATTCCAGAGAGTTTTACGCATCTTCCAGAGTACATTGAGAACGCGTCTGAAGAAGGACTCGGAGATACAGTCTCAAGTCCCTTGTCCGGAAGCACCGAGACTGACCAATTTGCAAACGATCCGGAGCTTGAAGATTCCAACACGGTCATCCTGAAACAATTCAAGGACACTAAACGATCATCGTCTTCTCAGTATCTGAGTCCAAGCCGTTCACCCACATCCGACTTGCGCGAGTCTTCTCTTTCCGCCGCCACCGCGACATCTCAGAATGCCGCAGATGACGACCCAGTTCTGGACATGTTGGAACAGGAGAGTCTAGATGCGATTCTTCTCGGCCATTTTCGTGATGTGGTGTGGATGCAACTCGTCCCAGCCGGAGGAATATTCAACTTTGCGGGTGGAAGTTTATTAGACACCGATGTCTTCGACCGTGAAGCCACAAACTTTCCCCCTGTAAGATTTGCCATTCCCTAGCATACAAGATCAACCCTTTTTTTTTTTTTTTCCTAACGGCACGACCCATAGCTCTTCCATGCAATGATGGCAATTTCCGCCCTCAGTCTCGACCGAAAAAGTGGTAGCCACAGTGTAGACGCTCTGCATTACTATCACCAGGCATTTCTATCACTCCAAAACAGTATCCGGAGCGACAGAGACCTATTATCAGATGGCCTTTTCCTGACACATTTCTTGCTTTTGGCGTACGAGGTTGGTTTCCCCCGTCTTTTCCATCAAATCCGCGCGGGTCGGATGTGCTATGCGACGTCCACTTACACTCCAAGTACGTAGCTTGCGGCAGCTGAGCTCGATGGCTCAAGCCTATGGTCTCACCACATCTCTCGATTACTCCACATATCGGCTCTGAGGCGCTCAACGTTCGGATCCGAGCCATACCCGCACCTAGTCTGGTGGATTTGCAGCGTTGATCTATACGCTCTTCTAAGCGGAGCGGGGACTGGGGCTTTTGTCCAGGAAGCGATGGCAAATCCAGATTTGTTCCCTGGGCTTGGTGCTTTCCAACAGCCTACGCATATTGAAAGCTATCGCAGTGTCTCTCTTGAAGACGGGAACTCCTCAATTGTATTAGGGCTATACCATGATACTTTCAAGCTCGCTGCAAGACTCGGATTCCTTGCAGCGGAGTCACGCAGAATCAACCTGCCCTTTCCATGTTCCCATCAGGACCAACGTCAAAGGGATGTTTGCGAGTGGCGCGAAGCGTTATGGCAGTTGTGGAACTCGCCAGAAGCTCAGTTTCTTGCCCGGGCACAAGGGAGCTTACCACTATTTCTACAAGAAATCCTCTGGCAGGTTAGTTGCTTTGTCACTTTGATCCTCTTGAGCCCCCATGATACTGACCGCTCGGTGGAAGTCCTCTCTGCTATACCATACCTCGCTCCTCGTCTCCTACACCAGTCTGTGGCCTGGGCAGCGTTTCGGGCCCGGAGCTGCGCCTCAAGAAGAAGTCCGCCACCATGCTGCTGCAGTCTTCAGCGTCGCAGAATCTGTGATGGCGCAAAGCAAAGCGAATGGCTGGCGCTCTGTGACCTTTCCTGTCTTCCTGGCGGGATCCGTCACCCCCTCCAGTGATCTCAAAGTGATGGCATTGGAGATGCTCTCCAGATTAGAGGCGCAAGAGATCGGTCGCAATGCAACAACCATCCGGTATCTACTTCAGGTGGTATATGAGCGACAGATGCAGCAATCCCGGGGCGTCGGCCATCCGGGGAGTGCTGACTGGATCGAGGTTCTTGCTGAACACGGTCTGCCTCTGGTGACTTTCGGGTGACACGACAGTGATGATGGATTTATTTGGATGATACCCCTTTTCTTTATGGTTTTGTCGGGGTGACTGTTACACGATTGAGCATGAGAACATGATTTTATATGTATCGGGTTGCAAAGGGACATGGTGCTGGGAATTTACCGCATATATAGGGGGCTGAAGAGCTGTGCCTTGTGGTTTTGTATGATATATGCTGGTCATGATACGAGTGAGGATTGAGAGAGACTTCACACAGAATCCGTGGATAGGCTCGCAGCGGGCCGATCCAGAGATGACCTTTCCCTTCTTCCAAGCTCTAGACTATCTGAGAGCCGTACTCTGGTAACCACGGATACTCCCATCATCAGCACCTAGGCGCCTGAATGGTACAAGTTTATCCGAGCACCAATGGTATAGCTTCTGCTATTGCTTCTTGGTCCTATGCAAGGTCTTCAGACTTAGCTGTGATCGATTGTTGCACGCGCTACCCAACATTGGCGCTTGCAGAAAAATTCGGTGCCATACCTTGTGCTCTTCAGTCATCCAGACACAAATCGCAGATATCCAAGACATCTCGACACAGTCATTGGACGCTGCCGAGTCGGACGATTTTGTTGTGCAAGCCAATAACAGCGAACCCAAGCGGGTTTTGGCACTCTAAATGTCTTGTCCGGCGGCTACTCCACGACTAGCACCCAGCATAGTTACGAGATGACCAGAAAGCATCAGACAAAGCCTGAAAGCAGTTGGGGCGGTCGTTGATAATTCTACAAGACGTACGGAGCATCGTCTCCTTCTTCATATCTTCATTTCTCTTCCTCGTCTCAAAGTGAGCTGCCTGAATAATACCTCTTCTCTCTTTCCCCCGCATCCCACTGCCTGCTGTTGTTACCCCTCATCGGTCTCTCTCTCTCTCTCTCTCTCTCTCACACCTCTGCGCCACCAGGCAGCGTGATTTCAGCCCACACCTACTCCCATCCACGGTCGCAATCGGTAAGAAAAAAAGCTATTCTGGCTTCTCATTCCTTTTCTCCTTTCCTGCACTCCGTTGTCGTTGCCCTTCTTTCTAACTTGTCATATTCCAGTCACTGACACGAGACTGAGCATTGTCGATCTATCGCTGCCATGAACCCCGGCAGTACCCATCAGGGTAATCCTTCTGAGGGAGAACTGTTTCTCAATTCCTCGAATCGAGCACCGGCAGAGTCTCCTGTGGTTGAGCCGTTACGCATCAGCAAAAGAGATACACCTTCACCAGCATCCCAGGGCTCTGCGCCGCTTCCATACCCTGATGACCGGCCCAGACTGGCCCAGATGCGCAGCTCGTCTGGTTCCACCGGGTCAAGTCCGACGACTATTGAATATGGACGACATGCGTCCCCTGTCTCATCAGTAAACAACTTGTCCTCGATGCCGGCAGGCTCAAGCGCAACGAGACCCTCGGAGTACCCGGCAGCTCTCCGGCCGCGGGACGGTCGCGAGCCCAAGCCCGCTACATTGGCCGAAAGACGGGGCAATACCGCTCCCAAACCATTACCAGAATCGCCGGGTCCAGATGCGCCAGACAGAGAAGCCTTGTTTGCCCGGAAATATCAGCGCGTACCGGCGCCTTCGGCCCCACCGTCAGACGGTATCCAGCGGGAGGGAAGTAATGCATATCCGGACTACCAGCAGCAGTATTGGCCGCCGCCTCAACCCTCGACTCCATCTGGAGTCTCTACGAGGCCAGCGGCGTCGCAGAGTCTACAGCCTCCTAGCAGCACAATCAATCGAATCAGCTCAACCGCATCCAATTCGACAACCCGTGCCCAGCGGGGATCGCCTCCACCCCCGGAAACTCCTATCGTTGGCCCTGGCCAACAACCTGAATCTGATATTGAGGCCCGCTATGCAGCTTCCGGCATTGCGGGCACCTCGACACTGGCAGGATTGCATGCGCAAAGTGCTGCCGCCCAGCGAAGAGCAGAACCATACGTCGGTCAGCTACCTAGAACCCAGCAGCACCAGCTTCCCGCTCAGCGGCCGTGGACTCCAACAGAGCAGCCGGGGACTCAACCACATGGTCCGCCCACAGTTTACCAAGGCGCCGAGGTCGTGGGATCACCGAATCCACCGGCGAGCTCTTATCATCCTCCGCCGCCTCAACCTGTCACGACACCGCCTCATGCCGCTGCTCAAGGCCAACAGGCGCCGAGGATTCCGCCCAACGCACTGGAGCAAGACCTTGAAAGGATGCGTATTAGTTCCTCGCCTCCCCCTGCGTACTCGAGTGTATCTGGACCCGCCGCTCCCCAAGGCTATCCAAGTGAAAAGCAACGTTTGTCGGCTTCGATGGGCCAGCCAGCTCCCGCAACGGGCCATCCAGCGACCATGGCTCCTACCAATGGTGCTGCTGCTGCGCCTGCAGCGCCTGCAGTCTCGCCTCAGGATCATCCCGCTTTTGCCAATGAACACCGGCAGCAGTCCCCGGCAGGTGTATCACCACAGAATGGCACTTCGGCCGGACGCCAGCCCACTCCTGTGCAGAATGCACAAGTCGCTTCCTTGCCCAGCTCATCGACAGTTCCTCCAGCCTCTCCACCGCCGCTCCCAGAAGGATGGATAGCTCATCTAGACCCTAATTCGGGACAGTACTATTATATTCACCTTCCAACTCAGTCGACCCAGTGGGAATTCCCCAAGGGACCGACTCCTTTGAACCTGAACGAAACTCCGCTGTCACCGGTCGGCAGCGTGTATAGTAGTCATCCTCTTGCCTCCCCCGGCCTTTCGGCTTTCGGAAAGCCACTGGCGTCTCCCGGCATACCTCTTACGCCTGGTCTAGCGCCCGGCTATGAGAGTCTGCAATCACCCGTTGTGGCTGGTTTCAGCGGGCCCCCTCCAAGCAGTGGAGTTGACCTGTACAAAGTTGCTCCAACCAACGGTGTCTACTTCGGGCCCTATCTCCGGTACACGAACATGGATCTCGAGCGCGGTATCTGGCTCGGCTCTATTCTGCTGGTCACCGACGCTGCCCAGCCGCCGACCATCCACATCCATCAGAGCGTCGATCTGTCGCCCAATCCCCGGCAGCTCAAGCCAATGAGCATTGCCGTGCACCAGCGCTGGACGTTTTACAAGTACGAGATTGACGTGCGGATGGAGGAGTCTGGTCCCGCCAAGTGGACGTATGCCATTACGTCGCATCTGGGCTGCACTCGGTACGAGTTCCTGGTGGCTGGCCGGTACGAGACGAACTGGCGCTTCGTCGCCACTTCCGGTAACGACTTTTCACTCAACGTGAATGCAAATGAGAGGTCCCGTCTGGGAGGAGTCGGTTTCATGTGGAAGGACATCATGCAGAAACATAACGAGATCGGGGGCTTCCATGCGCAGCTGTGCTCTGGCGGCCAGATTTACGCAGATCGAATGTGGAAGGAAGTTCCGTCCCTGAAGCAGTGGCTTGCGATCAGTGGAAAAGAGGCTCGCAAAAATGCCCCGTGGACGGCAGCGCATGAGGAGGATGTTTCTCATGCTTATTTCCATTACTATACCAGCCATTTTGACCAGCCTTATCTGAGGGAGTCGTTTGCTCAGATTCCGTACGTCTGCCAGATTGATGACCATGATATGTGAGTTTTACCCCTCACCTTGTCCTCTGCTGAAGGAGTAGCAACTGATGTTATCAGCTTTGATGGGTTCGGGTCGTACCCTGAGCATATGCAATTTTCAAACATGTTCAAGAACATCGGGCGAATCGGTATTGAAATGTATCTGCTCTTCCAACACCATACGACGCTGGACATCTTGCGAAATGTCAGCACCGACATAGATCTTTTCACCATCACGGGGACGGGTTGGCATTTCGTCAAGTATTTAGGACCAGCAGTTGTCGTCGTTGGCCCCGACTGTAGGTCGGAGCGAAACCCGCACCAAGTCATAGCTGGACCGACCTATCAGGGCATTTTCCCCAAGGTCGCCATGCTGCCTCCTTCGGTGCAGCACTGTATATGGATGCTGTCGGTCCCCGTCATCTACCCCCGGCTGGAGACTGCCGAGCACATCGCACATACTGTTGCCACGGGGAAGAGGGCCGTCACCGGGGCGTACAACGTGCTGGGCAAAGTCACGAGCTCTGTAGCCAGCGTGGTTGGCGCCAAAGATATGGTCGGTTCTGGTTTCGACTCGGTCAAGCGAGCTGTGGGTAAGTCTGGTCTCATGGGTGGAATACTGAGTCCCTTTGGGGAGTTTGATCTGCTCGATGAATTGCGGGATCAGTGGACGCATGAATCCAAGGTCTGTGAATCGAGTCGACTGTAATGCTCCATACCTGAGATGCTAATTTGGCATTACAGGATCTCGAACGGACGTATCTCATTCGCACACTTCAAGGCATCGCCCACCAGAAGTCCCTGCGAATGACCTTCCTTTCCGGTGCCGTCAACGTCTGCGGTGCGGGACTAGTGCACGACCCAGCTCACCCGCAAGACCACAAGACCATGTACCAGATCATCTCCTCAGCTGTTGTCAACAGCCCTCCCCCCTCGTACATCATCAAGCTCCTTCACAGCAGCCGCAAGCCCCTATACATTCCCGCGAACGGCCACCGCTCCACCCCGTCGCAACCCACAGATACCAAGGAAGACATGATGGAGATCTTCCAGACGGATGTCACGGGCCAAACGCGCGAATATCGTAAACTTATGGGTCGGCGCAACTACGTGGCCATTGTCGCCTACGACCCCGAGGTCGTGAGCACCATGTACGGCCAGAACATGGCCAATGGCAGCGGCAAGCTCAATCTCGCTGTCGATTTTATGGTTCAGGGTGACGGCACCTATGGGAATGTGGTCAAGTATGGGCCCGTCATCGTCCCAAGCCTGGAGCATGGGAAATGATATCGGTTCGACACAGGATGCCCTGTCGCAAGCGTTATTTGGGGTTTTTTTTTATTTTTTCCTTCTTTTCTTTTTTTTTTCTCACTTCATTCTGTGTTATGTGATGATGCATGACTTTTATTTCTCGTCAATCTCATCGTTGTTTGGCCCATTCTTTGATATATACCATGTGTTCATAGCGACGAGCTTAGATTGTCTTAAGTCATTTTTGAAACAGTCATGTGTTCTTTTTTGGGTTCTTTTCATCCCTCAGTGACTTCACGCAGACAACCAACGTTGAGCATGCCTGGCCCATTACGCGAGCCAATGGGAGCTAGATTCATCCTCAAAGCAGCATCTCTCCACATCCGCAAAATGATATGATATCGCAAGATTTCGCCTGGCTAGCTTCAGACGGATTTTCGTTCGAAAGTGATAGGCAAAATGCATTATCTTGTTCAAATCGTTACTGTCGCGCTGATAAAGAAGCAAGTGGGGAAAAAAAAAAAAAAAAGATCATCCGTCGAACCGCTATCGTTTCAATCAGAGAATGTGAACCACCAAAACCATGTGATCATGATGCCCTGGTCTTGAATATTCTCAGACACTATCTCTTGCCAGTTGGGTCACCACCTGGTACACAAAGCCCAAGCCGCCAGAAATAGTCGCGATGTGCAAAGAATAGCTCCCACAGCCGGTATCTGGAGGAAATGAGATGCCAAGGGAGGCTGAATGGCGTCTGTGGTTGCTTATGATCAGCAACGACAGCATTTGCACTACTGTCAGAATTTCCATCTTTCAAAACAGCCTGATGGGGTGATTCGACTCGTTTCGATAGGGGTTGCTTGTCCAAAATGATATCATCAAACTCCTTCAGCATCAGCCCTACAGCTTCATCCGTCCCTGCAATGCATCGAGCATCGCTGTCGCCTTGGCATATTTTGATGTCATGGGGTAACGGTGGAAGCTCCGCTTTAGCGATAAATATCTCCCCCGCGTGCATCTCATAGCCCCATTCCTGCAGTGGGAGTAGGGGCACCGGATCGTTGACATGTGTGACTCTTCGAAATCTTGGGTCCCGGGCATCAGCTCCCTTTCCTTCCCTCAAGCCATCCAGATCGAAGATTCGATCCAGAAATCCGACAAGTGCCTTGTTTCCGATCCTTGGCTCTCCGAACGTGGTGACTTGTGGATCCCACCCGCGTAGCTGCATTTCGACACCGGCGAGTGCGGCGACGGCGCCACCAAGCGAGTGACCGACCAAGATCAAGTCGTAATCCGGATACCGGGCCCTTGCCGCAGACACGTGCTTGAGTACTATGGCGCGAGTGTTGCTCCAAGAGGTCAAAAAACCTGCATGGACGGTGCAGTTCAGACATTGTAAAAGGGCAGACTCTTTTCCATTCTCGGGATGATACGGTACATAGGCCTGAGGATAGGCAGATAGATCGATGATCGTGTTGGCGATCGAGTAAGTACCGCGAAAGGCAACGATGATGCGTTTCGGGGATGGTTCATGAGATAGGGCTATGTAGCCACAGGAATCGGAGAGGAAAGGGCCGGTATTCCATGTCTGGAGACGATAAGCGCTTATTATCATGCTTAAATAGGAAGAAAACAAGTAATTGAGGGACCCTTAACATACGGTGACCAGTTCGAAGCCCTGGAATTCGCTACAACGACTGAGACACTCGAATGGCTTCCGAACTTCAGTGGTTCCAACACAGTACGAGACATCGACGATACGTGCGAGCTCTTCTAGTGAGCCAAAAAGTTCCTCAGATATCTGGTGTTGGCCTTCGTCGTCCCTGCCGAATATTGCGCCATCCACGCTCACAACGAAGAGACCGGAGAGGCTGGCGATAATAGTGAGACAGAACAGGCAATACTTGTGAAGCATGATTGAAGAAGCGCCCCATACCATGAGTCTCAGTCTCCTGGGCTAGAGAACATCGTTGATTGTCTGCTGTAGCAACAGCGGAACCGGCCCTTGCTCAAACCTTGGCCTTTCAGGACGATAGTGGAAATGGAGCTCGTGACGTGCTATTGTGACGTTGGAGAATCTGGGGTAGTCAGGTGACTCAGGTCCATGTCCACATGTCTCCGCTGCCCGAATCGTGCTAGTGTAGCAGTCCGATGACGTACGGATTGCGGTACAACACCAATGATCACTTCGGTACACCCTGATGGCCGGTCTCTGCTTCTCTGGGCTATTACAAAATACAAAACAACGATAACAATGTGGAGAGGAAGATATACAGTTTTTTATGTACACTTTCCAGTAGCTGTATAATGCTTCTTGAATATTTCAAGATGTTTCTTGCAGGTTGAAATGCCTATTGATATCAGTTGTCTACTGTGGTTGCAGTACCCCTGGAGGTATGCATTGGGGATTGCTCATTGATATCAAACTTGTTCAACTGAGTCTATATCCAATTATTTGAGTGCCAGACTCCAGGATAGACATTTCAGGACAACGTCGGCTACGTTGCTGAAGAAGCATGGTAGGCGTGGACGGACATCTAGATGGTCCAGACCACGACACGACCATCAACTCCACTCGCTAGCACGCAACCGTTAGTGACACCCTTCTCCGATAAGGCGGCAGTGCCTGATAATAGAGCTTGTAGGACTTACTGCTAAATTGGTGGACCGCACCGCCCGCCTCTTCATACACCCTGATCGTGTTGATGGTGTTCTGATGGATCGTCTTAAGTTGTGTGTCCGCATGAGTCTGTCCCTTGAGATCCATCTGGCGGAACATATTGAGGGCTGACTCCTCCCGCACACTGCCGGCTCCGGCTCCCGTCTTGCTCTCGATAGTACCTGCCAACTTCCACCCGCTCTCATCACCTCTGAAGCGGAATGGCTCGCAATCCTAGTGACGGTCAGCATGATAGACTCCTCACTACTACAATGGTCATTAGAACTCACATGGCCGGCGGCAATGATCTCATTTTCCCCGTTCCATATCAGGCTATTGAACGGTAAGAGGCGAGTAGTGATGTTCAACATGGCCCGAGGAGGTTGTTCGGGGCCACTGGGGTAAACAACAGTGACACTGCTGTCATGACCAGTGAAGGCCAGAGCGTTTCCACTTGGGGAGAAGCATACGCCATGAATCCATCCAGCCGAGTCGTTAAGAAACTCCCCGCAGATTGTGTTGAACGGAAGACGTTCTCCCCAAGCACTTGGCTCCGGGCGAGTGTCGATACCCTTGATGAAACTGGAGAAAACCCGTGCGTGAGAGTCCGTCGAACCCGCAGCCAGCAGAACGGAGTTTGGGTGCCACGCGAGAGTGGTGATGGTGCTCCGTATGGGCTTCTTCAGGTGCTTTGAAATCCACCAGTCGTTCTCCTCTTCGAAGTAGCAGACGGCAATGACGCGGGCTCCCGAGCCAACGGCGAATTTCTGCTCTGATGGGGACCAACGCACAAAAGTTGCAGCTCTGTTAATCCGGAGAAGAACTAGGGTCGGCTTCCAACCCGTCGGAGTTTGTTCCCAAACATAAGCGTTACGATCTGTACGCGAGGGGTCGGTCAGCTGGTGCTAGGGTCAGGATGGATGCGGATCTGTGAAGGATGGGGTACCTTGGGAGCAAGTAACGATGCGGCCACTATTGGGAGCAATATCAACACTTGTCACTGTCTTTTCGTGTCCCTTGAGTTCATCGGTCAAGGAGAACTTGCTGCCGGCTCGCTGATAGAGCTCCACATTGTTCTCCCTTGCAACGGCCAAGGTGCTCTTATCACTTGAGAAGGAGTGATCCGCAATTGGACTGTGAAACAAATGATGGACCTCAGGTGCAGACATGGCAGTACAAACGACAGGAGGAGCTCTCTACTGTCGTGCGAAAACGATGATTATTTGAAGTGAGGTACGGGGTAGTTAGGGGGAGCAACTACCTTGAATCGTCATGCGGGATAACTGGTGGAGTTGGGAGAGAGATGACCGATGGAGCGGGCTGAGCGATTAGGTAACGCATCACATGATTAAGGAGCTGAGTACGTCCACACGGCAAAAGATGGGCGAATGGTGTTCATGCATTATTGGAACGCGTTCGACAGTAGCTCACTACATAAGCTCCTCGAATTTTTCGCACGCCTCCCCTCATTAAGACTCAGTAATTCGGTCAGATCCCTGTCTCTTTGAACCATGTCCGCAAGAGTGGCCTCCGTACGCGGCGGCAATCAGAACAAATCTGTGCCTGCTGGTCTACCGAACCAAACGTCAGTCTCGCTGCCTGTGGTCCTTTTGCTAATTGGAGCTGTCTGACAGAAAACCAGGCTTTACTGTACCAATCTCCCGGACAAACTTCGAAAGTATGACTTACGGTTATCGCTCTATACTCTTTTCTCTACCTACGGTACAGTCTTGGACGTCGTGGCCATGAAAACTGAGAAAATGCGCGGTCAAGCGCATATTGTTTTCAAGGATATCCAGGCTAGCACGCAAGCTATGCGCGCGTTACAGGGCTTCGATTTCTTCGGGAAAGAAATGGTAGGTGGTTTTTGGTTCAAAGGTCTTGCCATTGGTCTTAACACGGTGTATTTTCAGAAAATTGTCTATGCCAAGGGCACCTCGGATGTCATCGCCAGGCTACGAGGGACCTACAACGTCTCCACAGCTGCTGCTGCCCAAGCTGCAGGTACCTCCACAGACCTCCAGAAATCGATCTTCAGCGGGCCCCCTGGATCTACAGCACTACCCCCAAAACCCACAGGGCAGGTCAACGGCGAGGCCCAGCCAGCTCTTGGAACTAAGCGGCCGCGTGAGGAAGAAAGTGATGAAGAGGAGGCACCGATGGACGAGGACAGTGACGTGCCAATGGAAGCCTCGTCAGATGAAGATTAAGAGCGCATGGTCACTTGCCGCTATCCCTGGTTCAGAGAGAGGGATCAGTAGGAGGAGGAGGCGCCAAAGGACTTCTCGAAGCATCGTTTGCTTCAAAAACCACCTGATTTGACTCCGGAAAAGGTTCTTGCGTATCTGTTGTTGCGAAAATTTCACATGGCAGAGGAAGACCAACGCAATTGCCCACCAGCCCGAGCCAGATAAGGAGATACGTTTCGGGATTGATTTTTCGCCACCCTGCGATACGCATCATCGCATCTGCGGTGTTGCAAGGGTGAACGAAGAATGCCGGAGCACCAGATTCGGGATGATACTACGGACTGTGAGCTCCCGCAACGATCTGATATGCGAGAAAAAAAAAAAAGCACATGCACCTACGCCAACACTAATGCCACCCATGACACCCACACTTTGCAGTTCCTTTCTGTACTGGTCCGGTACCAGATGATGATAGACAGCGTCTATCTCTAGCGACTGTGGATGACCATCACGCCGTAACAGGAAATATAGGACGGGGACGCGGTATACGGGGGACAGAAGGATATCATAATCTACATGTAATCCGGGACTCGTTTGGGATGTACGAATCAGAGCTTCCTGGTGTTGGCTGTCAGATCATAGTGCAGATGTACATAGGAGCACATTCTCCACGAACAGGATCATCTTCGCACAAATTTGGTTCTTGAGAGTCGCCCAGTTCTGGAGGGACGTCGTCAATGTGTTGGCCGGTGATGTTTTCAAAGCTTCGCGAAATTTTGAGAATAGCGCCAGTAGTCTAGATGGTCGACGAAGCAGAGGATGAAAATGACATCAGAAAGTCCAGCCTCACAGTTTCTGTCCAGGGTACCCATCTCGACCGCTCGAAAAGAGCAGGAGCACCTCTCAAGAGTGAAGAAATCCTTACCTTTTGCACAAGCCTCACGGAGGACCAACCCACATGAACTGGATCGTTGGCCAGATCATGAACTCGATCCAGGAAGGCGCGACAGGCGCTGGTGAATTCCTCTGGAGTTAGCGAGGGAAAGGCCGAAAGGGTGGGCTGATTGGATGGAGACGCCATTCGACTGCGCGGCCAGCAGAGACGCGGTGTAGGTAAAGCTGGATAATAGGTAGAGTGCTCGGTAGCCGACAAAGACCGATTGCAGAAGCTCTTGCGTTGCGGTGCAGAATGCAGAAGTACTGTACACCGACTCAGTTGACACTGTTGGCCAGGACGCGTTCAGAACTCCGGGCTGGCATTGATCAATGGTACGTTGTTGTTTGCAGAAGTACTTAGGCAGCTGTGCGGCAAGTATCCATTTGACCGTCCCCGTCCCAAAAGTCCAAAACACAACCTCCGGATACGGAAAGCTTCCGAACGGTAAGCAGAGAGTCTGTACTCTGTACTCCGTACTGATGCTCCTTCTAGTGTCTATCCAGTATCTAGGTGATTAGCAGCGGTTAAGTTTCAGCAAGATATGTTGAGGTGGTGAAAACATCGATCCTGGAAGAAGAGAAGGGGATTGAGGGCAGCGAGCAGGTTTGAAGATTGTGATCTGGTGTGCGGAGTAGGAGGAAAATAATTTTGAACCACACAATTACTTGCAAGGATGATAATTAGATTGTGAACACGGAGTACAACAATTGGTATTCTGGAATCGAGATCTAACACTAATTTCTTCTAAAGTCATCCTTCATGATCCGGTACATCCAGCACACTTCAAAGTCCCCCCTTGCATTTGAGATTCTGTAGGCTCAATTTTATATAACACTTACCCAATGACAGGGAAGATTGGGATCAGGACTCGATATATCGTCTAGACTATGTCATTTGAAAGTCGGAGTTGAGTTAGAGTAGCTGTTTCACTTTGCAGGTGCTGTTTGAGACAACACTGTCTTCAGCCTTCGCAAATCTGTCTCCCACCGCTGCCACCACCTAGATATCTTCTAGACCAAGCTCTCCAATGTCCGTCTCTAAGTGTACTTGCTTACCGTTCGGTAAAGGTAAAAAGAAATACAAGATCGATGGAATCTAGTATCAAGACAGATAACGGTGTCTACCTGCGCAATTTCCCAACTCCAAGGCTCCGACAAGCTGTCCCGCCCTCGTCCAAAGCAAGCTGTCTGTTCCAACTTCCAAGGTTGTTATTATTGAGCTAACCTACCTGAGTAACATTGTTGTTACTTACACGGATTCATGCCTTGATAGTGTGAAAACGTGAGATAGGAGGTACCTTAGTCCTTTACCCACTATTGAATGATAACCAACCAGTCAGTAGTCAGTACCTTACCATGTTTCCCTGCTGGTTTCGAGCTTGATTCAGAAAAAAATAATCCCCTAATCATTATCAGTCAGCTTGTGGAGAATACTAATACATACAACGAGAGAATTAGAGATGGTTACATTAGGTCAGTAGGTCAGTAGGTAGAATAATCGTAAAAAGGTACTTTCTTTGTCCGTGTTCGGCGATGATGATGTCGTCTTCTTCGTCTCCATCAAAGCTACCTTACCTTACTCAAGGTACGGAGTACCTAGGTAAACCATGTTTTTTCTCTTTGACCATTCAGCATGCACCGTGGATTGGCGTTTTCTTTCTAAAATGAACCGATGATACGATCATACAATGTCAATGTCCTTGTCCGATGGGTCCGCGTGGTGTCAACGTTACTCACCTTGACCAACTAGATACCGACTGTCGATCTCATCTGGTCCTCTCCCGTTCCGTTGTTCCCCTCAAAGATACACGGCCTGCATCTGCAAGATATTTGCTACCGCTAACTAACTTTGCCTATGGAATGGATCGAGGTACCTTTCCTGACTAGTTGGATACTACAGTACCTATTCTTGCAGCTGTAAAAACGCATTCGTCATGATTGTGTATTCTTTGCATCTTTCTGGCTCATGGCAGCGCGCCTCTCATTTCTCTCTCTCCACCTCAGCGATGGATCTTATTATTCCCCCCTACTGGCCCCCTTTTTGTTTATTTCCTCTTTGTTTCTACAGGAGAAATTTCGGCCTCAATTCGTGGTTGTCCTTCGTCTTATTATCGTTGTTATGAGTGATACCCTTCTCTGACCCTCGTTGTTTGACCTTCTATCTATTGTCTGTTTCGGATACCTTGATTCCACCTTGTTGAAACGATCTCGATCCTGCCTATACTTCGTCGCATGGACTGCTTTTATATCGCAAGCTCGTCTAGTCTGTTCAGTCATCTCGACTTCTGCCCACAATTGGTCACTTCCTTCTATCATCGTTATTTCATTGACAGCCGAGCTAATTCGGCGATCCTTCGATCGCAGTGGGCCTAGCACTGTCTCGACGTTCGTTCGAGTGTATGCCAGTTTGAAGGCAGTACCCCTGACATCGCGCGAGAAGAGAGATTGGATTTCTCTTGTCCTTGTCATAATAGTTTCGCACTTCCACAGGCCAAATCCCTGCGACAGGAAACACTCAAATCTGGACTAGAATACCCGTGGTTGGCCGTCCTGTCTGCTTTTCCTAACTATCCATTCCAGGTCCTGAAGATCAGGGCCTGATCAGCGCCAAGCTCCTGTTAGGTTGATTTGCTATCACAATTACAACATAACTAGTGAAGATAGGTGTAGGACTATAGGGACCTAGGTATCTATGAGGTCTGTACGGGCCAAGCTCCCTGAAATATCGGTCTTCATATTTCGGGTCTTTGCTTGAACAATTCATGTCCTTCATACGACATCTTTGAGCTTGGGGAGACATTTCCAGCCAGCACTGCTTCCCATCACATTCACCAAGTCATGGGAAGTTCCCACTCTGTTCAGAGCAAAGATGAGCGTCGCCGCTCCAACCGTCTCTCTAAACCTCCAACAAACAAGGTATCCATAAGTCCCAGTCCCACGAACCCAACTTCGCCTTGTCAAGCTTCAGGGCCCGCTACCGATACCCTTACCTGGCAGAACCCATGGACTGGCACCACGATCCCTGTCAGTCCATCGGTTCATGATCATCACGCGCAGAGGTCGCAGTCGTTTCCGTCTGTTCCCCATCAGTCTGAAGCGCCACGGGGTCTTGCGAACGGGGTCAACGGAAGCCGTGTCGTTCTTGAGGAAACAGACGAATCGTGTCCTCAGTCTCCATGCGCAAGCTTAGGTTCGTCGGTGTCTTTGGGCAGGCGAACCTCTGTTCGGCCTTCTAGGCAGGCTCCTTTGCGACCAGCAACACTGCATAGGTACCACCATTTGTCATACGTCCAATCTGTGCAACCAACCAGGTCCTACTCAATGCACACTCTTCCAGGCAAAGCCAAAGGCTGCATGCATGATCGAGCCTTTGAAGAGGCAGCCTCCTCCAACACGCATTTCATGGTAGACACTCAAGGGTTTTCCTTGATGCGCCGAAGATCCCTTCTTACGAAACCCGGAATTGCCACAAGACGATCTGCAAAAGGGGCCATTGGAAGGCTTCCACCTTCCATCGACCAGGAACATGGGCATTCTTTCAGCCATGTGGACTCTCAACTTAGAGACCAGGAGGTCGTCTGTACGCTTTTGCCTGCCCAGCTCCGCCCACCCACTCCAAGCGATTCAGAGTACACACATCTCGGCAACCTCAAGCTCGGATCACTGCGAGTTGTGAATGGATCGGCATCGCCGTGCCCAAGTGATCGATCTCGGTTAGATGAGGCGCGAAGTTCGACCCCTGAAGCCGACGAGAACGCTGCGCAGTCAGCAGCGTCATGGCGCAACCGTGATGTAAGTCAAAACAATGCAGACGCGAGCCGTACCTCGAAATCGCAAGAAGACGCTCCCTTGCGCTCCGTCCGTCGAGTAGTGGAAGAGTCCCTACATGATGTGTCAGAAGGGCAAACCATCATGAATCCGCTTGCGTCATTGTTGAAAATCCCGTCGCTGCCCGACTCGAAGGGATCCGATGACTTTCCCGCCAGTCCTTTCTCATTCGATAAGTCGCCTATTAATATATATCCTCATGGTCAAGATCCGTATCTGTTTTCTAAGGAAATATACGACGAGGGTGTATCGGTTCCTGACGATGGAGAAATCTTTGGCCACCAAGCAATGCCAACTGCCCCAGGGGAACCTGGCACAATAAGGCCACCGAGATTACACAAAAAAGCTGATAGTGGCTACAGTTCTGCAACCTCGGTTCGGTCTCTGCAAGACGGTCGTTCTCGAACCTCTATTGATTCCCAAGCCTCAAGAAGACATTCTCCAGAATATCACCACTCCACCCTTGGGGACACCGTGAAGGCTTCTCAAATTCGGGAGGAACAGGGCAATCAGCTTGTAATGCGCCGTCATGTAAGCCTCCAGGGCCACAGGGCGGGTTTTATGGCTGAAGCGAGTACAAGTACAATGTGCCATGAACCCCAAGAAACGCCCTCTTATGGCCGCAGTAGAAGCTCGTCGTACTCGGTTCCGCGGAATCCCAATCGCACCTCTTTTCGAACTCAGTACTGTGCGCAGTTGCGCAACTTTGAGCCGATTGCCAACTGGATGCCTCGTTCGTCGATACGTCAGATGGAAGACTCTGACTTGGAAGCAGTGAGGGGTGTACGGTACAAAAAGCACGCTGCTCAGCCCAATGATCTACGTGATCTATCCGTCCACTCTCAGTTGGACCGCACCAAGGAGATCGTTGACGATCTCGAATTACAGAGCAACAGGCTACTCCGGTCAGCATCAGAAAGTAACTTCGCCCACAAAAGTAACTCCAGATACGCAAGCACTCGAGCTACGGGATCAGAAAGGAAGACAGCGGCCAGGATATGGTCACAACGACCGGGCATCGAGGCCCCGCCCTTGCCTATGTCTCCTATTTCAGACACTTTCGGAGGCTCAGAGTACCAAAACCGCGATGTCTGCGCATGGGAACCAGCACGCGGTAGAAGCCACAGCCGGGGCATTGAGTTTCCGCACCGTCAACTGGCAAAGCCGCAGGCCCAGAAACGTTCGGACATCTACCTGGCAACATCGCCGTTCATTTTCACTTGACTCGCTATCTTATGTGCCGTTCGTTTCTCGATACATCTCTCTCTTATGTTCTTTTCACTTCATGAGTTTTTCGACCCATTCGACTTTCTATCGATGATTTAACTCTTGACGTATTTCGTTCCTCGGCTATCATCTCGTACATCAACATTACCCATTTTATGTCTCGATTTGCTTTCTTATGAAACTTAGATATGCCAGTGGGCATACGGTGTTTCCACGATCTTTTCTCCTTTTCGAACATCCTTTTCAGTCATATCCAGCATTGCATTGGCCTGGTTATTTGATATTACTGGATGAATACCAGATGGCGTTAGGCGGAAATCTGTCTTTCTTACCTCGTCTCACGATTAGCTTTTTTCCCCCCCTCTATCTGTCTTTTCTTAAAGTTATGAGTTTTTCTCAAAGAGGCAAAACGAAGAACCACTACCCTGGAGCGTCACAACGGCCGATGAATCATGGGCCTGAAATATTCGAGATACCCGAACTTATGTGAAACTTCTTGCATCAACGTGCAATGTGGCGGTGAAGCGCTTGTTCGCAATGTCAACAATCCATAAAAGAAGTTGATGATGTATGATTAATGTTGAGTGTAATAACATAACCACAATAAAAATCCAAATTCATAGTCCATGTGCGCGTAAGCCGACGCCCCCCAAGACTGAATGATCTTGAAGACACAGATCTTCTGTGAATCGTCCATGTATTCGATTATGGGATGATTATGAGGATTACATTAGATGTATCCGAGTCCTGCAGTAACACATGCATACATTATTTATGCATTACAGGTTAAAGGAACATCTGGACATTAAACTTAGCACTCAACGTTCGCTCATCTCAGTACATGTACATAGACATTCTACTAATACATGCACACATATAAAATACAATGATGTAGTAAAACACCAGCGCATGCATGATCCATAAGCCTTAGCTCAATCCCACGGTCAGCAATCGCTAATACCTTCTAGGTCGTTGATAGGCTAGGTGAGTAGAATGTATTCTCATGATGTACATACCTTCTAGAACCCAGTGAGCAGGTTTTCTGCTGTCACTAGCATGGCTTCTTAATACCTAATATTGCGAGATCTGCACTGTTTACTGTCGGTGGATCTTGTGAACCTCTACCTTTCTTGACTGTAGTAATCGCCTTACTCAGGATCCTAGGTGTCAAGATTGAGGATGTGATGTGAACGAAATAGTTGGAGTGCGGAAGGCCCGCTGTCTTATAGCTTAGAAGAGCTAGATTTCATAAATAATTTACTGCCTACTGGGAAAAGTTCAAGATTAAATCGTAGAATCATGAAGGTACCATATCTATTATATATCCAGCATATTAAGCAGTATTAAAGAAGAAAACCCACGCCGGCATTTATGAGACTGCAGACATAATCGAGAAAATGTCAATCATTGCATATCGTCGTTAGGCCAGCCAAAGACGTTGGACGCTGAAGCAGGAAACTCGTCATGAGAAAACCGTGAAGATAGACGCTCTCTAATTTACTCAACGCGGATTTTCTTCAACTTGGGCGCCGCCTCCTTCGGAACAATTATCGAGAGGATTCCGTTTCTCAGACTTGCTTTGACAGCATCTTGGTCGACTCTAGTTGGGAAGGCAAACGTTCGTTGGAACTCGCCGATTGAGCGCTCAGAGACCCAGAACTTGTAGTTTGTCTGGTTCTGTGATTTTGTAACCGCGTGCTCAGCTGGCTTAGCCGGCGATGTGATAGCAGAGGAGGCATCACCCTCTTCAATCTCGTCTTCAACGGTAGGTTGACGGGACTTTGTGGATGAGCTGTCGTCGTCCGTCTCGGTATCGGTGTTGTTGTAGTTGCGTTCTACGCGACCCTTGATCACGAGAGTCTGCGGATCGCTGAACTCAATCTCGATGTCGCTCTGGTTGACGCCGGGAAGTTCTCCGTCGAGACGATATCCATCGGGGAACTCGCACACATCGAACTTGGGTGCGAATGTCCGGACAGGTGTGACCTTGCTCTTTGGACGATAGGCACGATGGGCATCATAGTCATCCAAGAGCTGGAACAAGGGAGCCAGGTCAGTCGAAAAGCGTGGGAATGCCATCTTCGGTAATATGAGGAAAGGTAGTGTGTATGATGGCTAAGAGCAACAACGAAGATTGATGAGAATTCAGAGCTTGAGGAGCGTATTTACTATCTTGCTTTGTGTACAAGAATGTTTGTCTGTAAGAATCTGGTGATCATCTACATTCAGCAGGCTTTGAGTGGTTATTTTATAATTGTTGGATGGTATTCTAGAAAGCACTGGTATCTCCATGGCGTCGAGATGTAATGGGCATCTGGAAGCCACCAGCATCTCCTGCTCTTCAGTGCAACGACTTGAATTCTCGAGATTCCTCTCGAAGTTTCGGTGATGAATTGATGGCATTGCCTCAGAAGGTTCCGGAACCTTCGACGATGCTCATCGTGTCACGTGACTTTCACGAGATATCGATGGACGTTGGCGCAGAATGTCCTAATCCAACGACGGCTATCATACAGTTGCATGTCATGGTCGTTGGTAGCTTTGCTTGAGTGTAGCCGGAGAGATCAATGCTTCTGTGGTTTGTTGACCCCAGACTCTTCATGGCTGAACGCGCGCGCCCCGCGCGATTACCGGATGTTTCGGATTCCAGGGGATGAATACATCTCAAGCTGCCTGTTCCCTTTGCGCAGTAGATATTCTATCGCACTGAAATCCTTCTTGCTGACAGATAGGTTCTTTCGGAACTCTGCTCTGCTGGGGAGTTAGCGGATTAATTGAACTCGGGAGTGCGTGGATGTTCAAGATCTCTGCCGAACAAAGTGCTAGAATTTCCTCTTGATATACCTTGTATACGCTTTGAAATTACTCCTTGTTTCCTACAGTATCAGTTCAATCAGCCAAGAAGAATGCTATATTGACAAATTCATCATGTAGCCTAAACACTCAGTCACAGAAAGTGCTTTCGAGGAGACTCACTGAAGGCTTTTTCCTGATTTCTCTCAAACACTTCCTATAGAGGGACAGGACCTCCCTCTGAAGACCTGATAGACGGGCCATCGGTTCGGATGGCGTAGTATGAACCCTCTAGAGAACTTCTCGGTACAGATAGACTTAGTCTGATGTTCGACCGAAGTGAGTTATGAATGTTGGTTGTCCTTGAGAATCTGGTTTGAATGATCAAGCGGCCGTTGGCCCTGAAGGTATTTCCGGATGAAGCTTAGCATCTCCGACTTTCTTGAATTGCCTCGGAGAACGAGGTATAGACCTCATATGGAAGCGATGCGGCCAGTAAAATGGTGAATGAATTACTGTAAACTGGCATTCTCAACAACCAGACATATTACTGAGTGCAAATCCGAATATTTAACAACAACTACTACTCTCTACTAGGCACGCTTCTCCCAGTTCCAGAGCTTGAATCCCGATCTCCGGCCTCCGCCGGTCTGGAGACAGGGGAAGCGGCTAGCTCCTGTTCGGCCGAGAGTGGTCTATCGGATAAGATGCAAGGACCACCATGTACGACTATGCGTAGATATTCTATATCCGAACCAGACCAACTATCCCACTTCGTACCTGTTTATCTACATATGCTAAGCGTATATACCTTCTATCTATAAGATTCAATTGATACATCCGGTTCTAAGGACCAGCTGGAGACGTCAATATGTCTACGTTTTCTGTAAGTATGGCGCATTTGTCATCGATCCTATTCTACAGCTACATACGAAAACCAGCAATCTTTTTCTTCACTGGCAGGATTAGCTGCTGCCATCATCCAAGAGGATGGCTTCCTTCATTTCATATTGTTGAACCCTGAAGTAGTGTCGTTCAATGCTTATCCATATCGCTATTCTCTGAACAGCGACTCATTCGATTCCTGGCCAAAGACGGCCATGTTTACTACGGTGATGCCATTCTCCCCGCGGGCGTCAGCGACCTTGCCAAAGTGACCAAGGCCAAGGTGATTCAGGGTGACATCTTCGGTCAGCACCGTGTCACAGACCAGGTCTCCGAGGTTAAGATGCTGCTTGCGCCCCTGGCCAGAAAAGATATTAGGACGGTGCGCTGTCTGGGTCTGAACTATGAACAACATGCGAAGGAGTCCAACCTCCCCATACCGAAATACCCCGTTCTATTCTACAAACCAGTCACGTCCATCGCGGGCCCCACAGATGACATTCCGGTATCTACTATGGCGCAGGAAGGCGAGGGGCTCGATTACGAATGCGAACTCGTTATCGTCATCGGCAAGGAAGCCAAAGATGTCACCGAGAGCCGGGCTCTAGACTACGTGCTGGGCTATGCCGTGGGCAATGATGTATCTCATCGGGATTGGCAGATCAAGCGAGGGGGTGGTCAATGGGGTCTTGGTAAAGGCTTCGATGGTTGGGCGCCGTTCGGACCAGGCATCGTGTCCTCGCGGTTGATCCGTGATCCCAACGCACTTCATATCTCGACGAGGCTCAATGGCCAAATCGTTCAGTCTTCCTCGACCAAGGACATGATTTTTAACGTTGCGAAGGTTGTGGCATTTTTGTCTCAAGGCACCACCTTGTTGCCAGGAGACCTGATCTTCACCGGAACGTGAGTTTCTGCTTTACCATTTCATTACCCTCATTTCTTGATGCACCGTTTGATCGAGGAGAAGCTAACCTTTGGCCTAATTGCAGACCGCAAGGCGTGGGCATGGGCCGAAAACCGGCCCTTTGGCTGAAAGACGGTGATCGGGTTGAGGTGTCCCTTGAAGGAGTGGGATCATGCGTGAACCACGTTGTCTTTGATAGGCTCTCTGCTAAGCTTTAAGGAGAACTATGTTCTCTGTAGGCTTCAATTACGACAGATCTGTAAATGACTTGCAAAGTCGAGTGAATAGCATAATTTAAATGTTAGATATCATCAGTGTTTCTCAGAGATCATTCAGGATGCTATGCCCCTATCGTAGCGTCATCCTCTGATCAACTCTATCACCCCAGTGAGTCTCAAGCGATGGACTCCCG